AAATCACCCCCAGGAGGGATGGCCACACCGCAATCCCTTCTCCTCCTTTCTCCTCTAAGGATCTTGGGCACGCATACACATGCACCTGGTGTGAGTTTAAGCCACCAGGTCCAGGACTCGAACATTGGTCGACTACATGGGAGTCCAGTGACATAGCCATTATGCTAACTGCTGGTCCCATTCAGCATGAGTTTTAAGCTGTTCAGTCTGGGACTCAAATTGCGAACAACTAAGTGGCGTATGTCCAGCAGCATAACCATTATGCCACATGCTGGTCTCTCCTAAGCTATGTTCTTAAAACCAAATAAAAATACTACCAAAGGGGCTGGCAGGTGGTATGGTGGTTAAGGCCCTGAACTTCCATAAGGCTAATTGTGGTTTGAGACTCGGACCTGGTGGCTTGCTTTCTCACTTTCCCTCTCTCTTTGGTCGAATTAAAATAAATAAATAAAAATAATAGTCATAAAAATAAAATTAAGTAAACAATTCTTTAAAAAGATGCTACCAAAATTTTAAAATTGAAAATAGCAAGTAGATATAAGAATAGCATGTTTATTACTTGTTACTGCAAATCATAACTGTAAGTTCCTAAATCACAGCCTGGCAAATTTTTCCTTGAAGGACCAAATAGTCACTATTTTTAGATTTTGTGAGCCATGCGGCAACACCAAGGATACAGTGCATGCTCTTATTTCAAATTTTAAATGTAAGCATTTAAAAATATAATAGTTATTCCTGGCTTACTGGCTGTAAAAAATAAAAGGCAGGTGAACCATTCTGCCCAGTGAGCCAGAGCTTCCTGAACTCCATTCTAATAAATTCCGAGATGGAACTTGATGACATACATATTTTAATATTTAACTTAGGTTAAACAGACTAAAAACTTGAGACATGTTTTTGCGTCCTAAGGTATAAAACTTCTACCTTTATATCAAATGCAGTTCCTACTTATTCCAGTGATGCTTCTATTTAAGACAAAAAGAAAAGAAGCTAATAACTAGGGAAACTAACACACAATAGCTAATAAAAATATTCATGACTAAAACGATTATGTACAAAATGCCAACAACTTATTTTCTGCTCTGTAGAAAATCTTCATAGGAAGTTTAAAATTTAAAAATCATTATCACTCCAATTTCCAGATGGTATATAAAATAAAGATGATAGGTTAATCTGATCAACCATATTGTCAGCTGTTATGATTATACCAGCCCAATATTCTCTAATAGACAAATCCTCCTTTCCCTTAATCTCCTAATTTTTCTCACATCTGTTTATATGTCTCATTAAGATCCAATTATGGTTTTTTTCTTTCCAATATAGATATCTTTTCCAAGCATTTACAATTTTATCTGACTTATCTAATGTCATTTACAATACTAACCACAGCTCACTTTACATTTTCTGTTGTCTTTAATTCAGTCTGTCATCTCGATTTTTATTCTCCTCTTCTGGCATCTTTTACCTTCCATCTTTATTCTTACCATTTCCATACCTCCTATTCCTATGACTCATCAAGTGTAACAGATTGTTAGTTGTTCGCTGCATTAATGACTCATCTTTCTTCATAAAAATGCTAGTACGGGAACCAGCAGTTGGTGTAATGGCTATGTTGCTGGACTCCCACGTAGTCGACTGCAGTTCAAATCCCGGATCTGGTGGCTTAAACTCATGCCGGGTGTGTGTGCATGCATGCCCAAGATCCCGAGAGGAGAATGGAGGAGAAGGGATTGCAGTGTGGCCATCCCCTTCTTCTCTCTGTCTGTCTCTGTCTGTCTGGCAAGCACACACACCCTATAGCAAAAAACTCTCAAAAAAAAAAAAAAAGAAAAAAAAAAGGCTAATATGCAAGGGAGACTGTGAGAAATACCATCAATAGATTCCTATCTAATGGGAGGTGTATAAAACTGATTTGATCCATTTCTAGAACTTTTTCTTTCTCCTTTTTGCTTTTTGTCATACGGTGCATACATTCACCAGAGAAAGACAGACAGAGGGAAAATGAGAAATCATTCCTCAGAGGGACGGCATTCCACAATCCCTTCTCCTTCATTCTCCTCTCAGGATTTTGGCATGCACGCACATGTTCCTAGCATGATTTTTTCAAGCAGCTGGGTGCAGGCTTGAACCATGGTAGGCTGTGTGGGAGTCCAGCATCTAACCACCATATCACCCGTTGGCTCCCATTTCTTGATCTTTTAAATGAAATCCCCTTTTCCTTCTAAGACTCTGATGGATGTCAACACTTAAGATGACTATGGAATCATATAATGAGATTGTTTCAGTCTTCATCAGCCTGTATTTCTATATGTGGCATCTCAGTCAATTGAGCAATAAGTAAAAAATAATAGTAATAAAATACACACACACACACACACACACACACACACACACACAAACATACAGTAAAGTTATTGTAGGAATATATCCATTCGGTATTTGAAAAGTTCATTTATGCTAATATAAGCTGTTTCCTAAGGTTCATTACATCAGAATCCATCTACTCTTCCTATCTTTTATTTTCTGCAATCTGTATTTAGAGGTCTGAGTCATCGTGACTACTCTAGACTGTTTGTGATCATGTCAACATTGTAGATATCTACCAACACGTAAAGTTGAAGTAGAATAAAGTTTTTCTTTATTCTTATCTATTTTGGCCAGTAGACATCATTCTCAACTTCTGCTTTAGGCCCCACTAATGTCTCAAACCAAAAATCCCAGAGATAGATATGTGTACTCTTTCTTTGATTTCCAAAGCAAAATGATAGGTTTTTATTATTTCCTAAAATTGTTCTTACTTTTTAGCATTTCATTTTCAGAGCTACCTTTTTCAATATTTCCTAATTATTTTTATCATTTCCATGTCATGTATGAAAAACATGGTATTTGGTAGGTTAATTAACTTGCCCAAAGTCACATCAGCTGGGCTTTATTTGTCTGTGAAGGGCATGTGTGTTTTAGATAGAGTCGCACTGTAGTGGAGTCTTCCTGCCTCAGCATCTTGAGAAGCTAACACCAGAGGTGACAATACCCAATCATGGGTTTTTAGGGTGGGAAAGAAATTGAACCCAGGCCTTTCATATAGCATTGGCATGAGAAGATTATTGTGGCTGGGCCCCCAAATCATGTAAGTATTTAAGTGAAGAAACTGAAATTTGAATCCAGGCAGTCTGGCTTAGGACTCTATTTAAGTGGAGGCATAGAGTTAAATAATACAGTTAGAAAGTCTAAGATTGAAAAACCTATCTGGAGGTTTAAAAAAGTATAATAAAAATATTAAGTTTCTAAAATTAACTTTGAAAAAAATATTTTGGGGGACTGGCACATGGTGTGGTGGATAAAGGCACTGGATTCCCTCACAGCCAACCATGGTTCGAGTCCCAAACCTAGCAGCTTGCTTTCTCACTTTCCCTTTCTTACTCTCTCTCGTCAAATTAAAATAACAATAATAACAACAACAACAATAACAAATGGAATAAATAAATAAATAATTCTTAAAAAAAAGAAAAAGAACATTTTTAGTTCTTTAGTTGCAAAAATAGAACAGTATAAAAAAATCAAATATTGCCTTATAATAATTCAACAACAGATTTTTATAAAAGTTGCTTTAAAGAAAAAATATAGAAAACGTTACTAAGGATTCCATCATTCATTAAAAAAACGAATGTTTATTATTTTACCACAAAATATCTAGACATTCATATTTTCTAGTTTAAACTAGTTTTTAAAGACATCAAGATAAGGAGGCATCAAAAAGTTCATGAAAATATGGAATTAAAGTATGTGTTTATTTTGGGGGGAAACTGTTTAAAATCTATGCAAATATTTCTTTTTTTTTCTTTTTTTTTTTTTTGCCCAGCGTGAGTTTTAAGCCACCAGGTCCAGGACTTGAACCATGGTCGACTACGTGGGAGTCCAGTGACATAGCCATTACACTAACTGCTGGTTCCCCAAACATTTCTTGTAATATCCCTTTTTCATGAACTTTTCAAGACTCTCCATATATTTATCTATATAAAAATATTATATATAAGTTATACATATGATATTAAACATATTATAAATAAATTACACAATAAAAATAAAAATATATAACTATAAACAAAATGCAAACATATAAATCTTATAAATAGACATTAAATATATGATATATTGTTATATTAATATATTGCATTACTATACATTATATAGTATTATATATAATATGAAATATAATCTATATTATATACTATTTCTATATAGATTTATGCCATACCTATATATCATAGTATAGGAAATACAGATATCACATAAATACATATGTATGTATCTATATAGAAACATACATACATATCTTGATATTACATGTAGGAAATATCTACACAAATATATATACATATATATGTATAGATATCATGCCTCCATGATATTTTAGGAAAGATAGACTTCCTACCACATGAATTTCATTAGTCTGAAAAAAAATATATTGGACTTTAAGGTCAAGTGTGCAGGAAAATAATTTTTTTTTTGGAGAGGTTTTCGCTATAGCACGTGTGCACTCTCCAGACAGAGAGAGACATAGAGACAGAAAGTGAGAGCTCACCCCCCAGGGGGGATGGCTACACCACAATCCCTTCTCCTCCATTCTCCTCTTGGGATCTTGGGAATGCATGCACACGCGCCCGGCATGAGTTTTAAGCCACTGGGTCCGGGACGCGAACCACGGTCGACTACGTGGGAGTCCAGCAACATAGCGATTATGCTAACTGCTGGTTCCCCAGGAAAATAATCTTTGTGTACTGTTCAAATCAGAAATTGCTCTCATTTTGTTTTTATTGCTGAACACTCTTACCAACTATTAGGGTTGCATTTGTGTCTGTTTTGACTTTAATATTATAAAAAAAATGAATAAATGTATGTGAGGTAAAGTAAACATCAAGAACACTATATTAAGTATGTTATAGTTGCTTGATTATCATGAGATACATGCCATTTATTCTGGAAAAGAGAATTCAGCTTACCTTCTTCTGCAGGACACAATGGAAAATGAATATGAACATTCCCTGCAGAGAATTGAAAATGGTGAAGAGATACGCCATGATGACTGTGCTTTCATTAATATACATGAGTCCAAAGGCCCAGGTCAATCCTAACAGGCAGAGAAGAGCTATTGCACCTATAACCCATGACCTGTAAAGAAAAGAGAAAATTAAAAGTCATCAAATAATTGGTCTTTAATCAACACAGAGTATCATATCAACAATACCAACACTGAAAAAAATGTTACGGTAAGTATTACTGACAGAAAACGTAGGACACGTGGTGTTAAGTAGTTTAAGATTTTAATGGGACTAAGTTTTCAAGCTTGAGGAGATACACATGAATGAAAATGTTATGAACACAGAAATCATTTAAGCAAAAGCAGATTCGTTCCATAAATTATTCACGTATTTGCAGCACATATATGCAAATGGAATGGTGTAATTATGGTGAATGGCCGGGGGGAGTCTGCAAAGCTGGATTATTTTCCTCTGGTCTCACTGGCTTGATATGTGTGTTTGACTGAACTCTCTCCATTGGTGCTTTATCTGATAGTCTTTTAGCCCATTTTTCCAAATTTCCTCTTTTTCCTTAAAATGTTAGTGTTTACTGACAAAAACACTCCTATCAGAATGAAGCAGCATTTGGAGTACATAGATGCATTTTTAAAAGACCTAGCTGTCTGATTCTATAGTTATGCAGAATAAGTGAAAAATGGTTTTCCTCTATTGGGGCCATCTATTGTAGTTCAGCTTTCTTTCAGCCTTTGGATTCCTGC